TGGGCCAGCCAGGGGTTTGTTCCCCTTGGCCTCCCGTAGAATGCCTGTCCTGCCACCAGGTCCTAAGTGGCCACTCAATAAATGTTGGGCCCTTGATGAATCACCTTCCCCCTCGATATTTGCATTTTCTCTTTATCAGTAATTGGCAGATGAAAGGCTTTGTCCTCCAGTTGAAAGAATTCCAAGCATTTGCTCAAAGCAGGGGAGGAGGTTATTTTGGACCAAAGGGGGAAGGGCCAAGACCCTGGAGCTCCCAGTGTTGGCTAATTGTCCCAGAGAAGTGGAGAGTAGGTGAGGGAAGGGAGAAGGTGAAGGTGCTTATCCCAGAGATGTACTTTTTCTTGCAGGAAAACACCAGGCCGGTTGTATTGGAAACATAATAATGATTTCCTGGACCCTCCTGCTCGATCTTACAAAAGGCCCAGTCAAATCCTGCCTGAGTTACCCCCATTCATTCTTCATTCATCAAAGGCTGATTGAGCAACTCTGTGCCCAAAGACAGAGCGGCTAGAGAAAACAAGATGCAGCTCCGACTGGGGCATACTCGGGGCTGGGTAGGATGATGGACCTGCATCTTCCCAAGGAAAGGGCGGACACTGGATGGAGCTCTCAGAAACCAGAATCTTGTTAAGAAATTGAAGTTGTTCTCATATTCATACATGATTATCATAGCTCCTGATTTTTCTTTTTTTTTTTTTTTGAGAGAGGGTCTTGCTCTGTTGCCCAGGCTGGAGTGCAGTGACACAATCTCAGCTCACTGCAGCCTCCAGCTCCTGGACTCAAGCAATGCTTTCACCTTAGCCTCCCAAGTAGCTGAGACTACAGGAGTGCACCACCATGCCCAGCTAATTTTTGTATTCTTGGTAGAGACAGGGTTTTGCCGTGTTGCCCAGGCTGGTCTCCAACTCCTAGGCTCAAGCGAGCCTCCCGCCTCGGCCTCCCAAACCGCTGAGATTACAGCCATGAGCCACCACACCTGGCCCTGTTTTGTTTTAATTTAGGGATATCAAATCATTCCATATCAGCATATATAATTACCTTATTCTTTTTAATGATTTCATAGCATTTCATTGGGCAGATACATGATGCAAGAATGATTTAATTAGTTCCCTTTTAGATGGTTTTCAGTCTTTCTATTGCAAACAGAGCTATAAGGGATTGCAGCTTTGTGCTTGAGTCTGTCAGTAGAATATATATCTGAAAGTGAATGTCTGCCTCTCAGGATTCCTACCCTATCACCAATTATTTGTCCTTGAGAAGTTTATTTGTAAGATCTGAGCAGGTGGGAGAACCTCAAATCCAACTGGTATCCCCAGGAGTCTACGCAGTGCCATGCTCTTGGCAGGCACTCAGAGAGAGTGGTTTAAGGGCTAACACTGCAAGTGTTCACACTGTAACCAGATGGCCTTTTCTAGGAAACCTTTGCTGATATCCTTGGCCCCCTTTCTCCATGAACCCTTCATTCATTCCACAAACGTCGTGGAAGGTTGATTAGAGGGAGCTTGCATCGAATCAGCCCCTTAGGTGTATATAGCCTAGTAGGTCAGTGAAAACAGATTCCGGAAAGCACTCTAAGGCTACGCTGTCTGATGGGATACACTAGCTACATACAGCTACTTAAATTTAATTAAAATAAAATGTAAAATTCAGCTCCTTAATCCCAGTACCTACATTTGAAGGGGCTAGAAGTGACAGCACTGAACGGTGCAGACATAGAATATCCCTATCATTGGC